ATATTTTAGTTAATAATGAAACATTAAATGGTTATTTATTCTGACCACATTATATTGAATTTTTGTAAAATAAATAAATATTTTTTGCATCAAAATAATTTAGGGGGGCTTTAAAATATTTTAGGGAGTCTCCAGCCCCCCTAAAATAGGCCTAGTGACGCCACTGGTAGCAGCAGCAGAAATGTACATCAGTCCATAAAAACAGTATAATGCTATGTTATAATATCAGTTGTAGCCATAATAATAATAATAGAAAAGAGATAAACCAGTGATAAATACAGATTATAATCTTGTTAAGAACTTTGCAAACAAATAATCTGCTGTTGTAGCTGATCGCTTTGAATACATGTTTTTATTTAGTTCGTTTTTTTTGCTCCAAAACTCTGTTTCAAACATATAATAGTCACACATATTAATATAAAGGATTTATTTATTTAAAGTGATCGATCTTCCTTTATTATAACACAGTAGTTTTATGGTTTTTTCCAGAAATCCTTGAAAACCGGTTATTTATGTGTTTTTCGCGAAACGCTTTTTGTCTCTCTCAGGCTTCCGTAGTTGTTGTGTCAGAACTCTGTGGTTTTTGTTGTTATTTCACTGTAAACGTTTCTCATGCTGTCAGGTAAGAGCAGCTTTTTATTTAACATCCAAGGTTTTTATTTTTTATCACCGTAAAATAAAAATAAAGTCACGAATAAACTTGTTTATGTAGCTTAGTTAGCTTAAATAAACACAAACATGGTTAGCTTAACTGAAARATAAGAAAGAAAACTAATGAGAGAAGTTTTATTACGATTCAAACATGTTTGAGTTTAATGACATTAAAGTTAAAATGTTTTGTTTTGTTGAACAAACAGCTGCAGCGAGTTAAAACTTTCCTGTGTGGATTTATAAAAATAAAATAAGTTCAGATTAATAATGAATCAGTTTTGTTGGAGGGCAGGTTTATAAAGTACCTGAAAAAATAACTAATTAAAAGTAAAATTACACGAACAGAAAATAACTTTGATAAAAATAAATGTGACAAGAAAACTACTCAAACAGCTGCAGCGAGTTAAAACTTTCCTGTGT